CTTTCACACTCCCTAATGATCTTCTCTGTAGAGATGAGAATGAAATCTACTTTGTTAGCCCTAGTCAATCCCCGAATTTCTAAACCATTTGTGAAGCCCGTGCCTATTAGACATTTTCACCTGGACATTCTATAAGCAACCCCAACCAAAGTTAATCAGAGCAGAATGGATTAGTTCCTTCATTAACTTGGCACCTTCTCCCATTTTCTCCAAATTGAGAAGTGACATTTCCAGTTCTTCAAATCTGAAATTCTTCTACTCCTAAACCCTACCATTTAGTGGTTACCATGCCACTGATTCTGCCTCCTAAAAATATCTTCAACCCTTCGCCTCCTTACCATTATCAATGCCCTTGGCCCAGATTCCCAAAGTTCCTGGAAGGTATCATCCTTCTGGTCCTCTGCTTCTAACTCCAGTCTCTTTTGGTTACTTCACAAAGTTCCTGACCAGCACTATACACTAGAACTTTCTCTTTGACCATAGAAATGTCCCATACCTGTGCTAACCCAGATGGAGTAGCCAATGGACAACACACAATGTGGGTAGTATGACTAAGAAACTGACTTTTAGATTTCATTTAATTTTAATAATATTAATTTTAATCTAGTAGCCAACACGTGGTTAGAAGGTAACATGTTGGTCAGTGCAACTCTGAAGTGGTCTTCTTTAAATACAATCTTCTTTATAACACTCCTCTTACTTTAAAGTTAAAACCACTCTTCTTAATTTAGTGGATATGCTCTGAACTACATTTCTATTCTGAACAATCCCTTCCACCATCTAGCACAACTTCCACATGTATCAGTCACACAAAACCACACTGTATGACATGCATGCCTCCTTGCTCAGGTACAAGCTGCCCTTACTACCTGAGCCCCCTTTGTCTCTCCCCATGTTTCTCACTCATCCAGCAAGCAGCTCCTCCTCAGCCTCCTCAGCCTGCCGTGCAGCTACCTGGCACCCTCTGGCATAGGTATGCAGCACTGAAGCACGCTACTATTCCTACTGCTATCACATATTTGCCACACTATACGGGAGCTCTTCAAGGGCAGATTGGATTTTTTTTTATGACTTCACCGGTCTATTTCAATGGTTTCAAATAGTCCTTTAGTCACAGCCTCTAGGTTGCTAGGAGAAATTGCCTCAAATCTCATTTCTATTACTAATTATGGCAAATCCAAATTCTTCATTCATAATCTTAAAGGAAAGTGAACTGTCAATAATCCCTTTCTCAACCCTTTCCTTGAAGTGAGCCTTAGTTTTTATATTGTCTACATATGATTTAAACTTTTCACATCCATGTCTGTGCCTTCTTGAAAAACCTACAAGGTTTTTCTCTTCCAATCCATGTCTATTACTTTCTTTGAGAACCATGGGAAAAAGTTCACCCCAAGAAAGAACCCTTTGGACTCATCTTACACTGACCAACTCTACCAGCACAGGTAAGTAGCTCTGTGTGATGTTACCTACAGGCTCTAGCTGTTGATTATATACTGTCCTCTGAACTCCAAGGCCAATTCCTGGAGAGCAAAGACAGTCCTTTGCTTCCTCACTGCATGTAAAGCACTCTGCCCAGCTGTGCATTTATTAGGCACTGAAGATACACAGATAGAAGAGTCTATGGAATCTTAGAGATGATGTTTGATGTTTTTATGAATTCCAAAAGTTGTCATTTACAACGCTTGTTTTCAACATCCTAATACAAAGTAATACGTAGACATTAAAGATAAAACAAAAATATTTGATAAATAAAAGCCATGGATCTTTCCTGCACCCAAAAAGAAGAGTGTAGATCAATAAAGCAAATAATGTCAGGAGGTTATAACTCAAATTTTGAGGAATTCCCTGTAGTGCCTCAATGACCCAAATAATCTTTGTAATTGAGATTTGGGGAATTTTTAAAAAGCAAAATGACAAAAGGGTAATCATGGTTTCTCCATGGCTATCAGAAGCTGGTCACCACCTGCTTCCTGACTAGAAATCAATTTTTTATCAAGTGACTGTGACTGGCCACCCCTCCAGACACTCGTACACCAGGACGTGCACCCTGGGACATCAGTGTGCCAGGCTCTTATCTGAACTACTGATGCAGGAAACAGAAAACTACAGCTTATGAAAGCCAGTGTTTTGAAGCTACGGTTTCTATTTCAATGTTAAAATATTACACAGAAGCACCCATTCTATTAGATAAAATCTATAGAAAATGGATTTCTAGCTTTCAATTTTTAGATATATATTTAATACTTAATTCTTCTTCTCCTACCTTGCCATAAAAAAAAGATGTTATCTACAGAATTAAAGGTCAAAGAAAAGGTCCTCCAAATACACCAGACTCTTTAATGGATAAAATAGCTTCTGGCATTTAAAACTATGTTCTCTAGAGACAGAGTGAAAAGATAGTCTAACAAAATCTTTTCAAGGAATCAATTGCTTTCTATTTTTCAATCTTTTAATTAATTCATTTATGTATCAAAGTCTTGGATCATCACAGAAAGTGATGAACAATTTAATCCCTAGTAATCTAACCATTTGAATTTATCAAATGATATGTTTTATTCACAGAAATTAATAAGGAATGTGCATATCATGTCAGTTTCCTACAGAATGTCAGAAGTAAAATGGTATTAACTGAAAAGTGAACTAGGAAAAACAATCACTGACACAGAATCCAAAGGGACTTTAATCCTAATTTCTTACCTTTGACAGACTGCATTAGGTTTTTCTAATTCTTATTTTAGACGAGATTTTCTGCTTTACTGTGCATATTTGCTTCAAAGAGTTACTTTTCAAAAGGGTTACTTTGAGATATTTATTGTACAGATAGCCTAGAAATTACAAAGCCACGTAACATTTAGTTGAGCAATAAATAATGTGCCAGATATTTATAAGAGGAAGAGTGATCCCTATTAATCATATAATACAATTAATCATGCTGTTATCACTTCCTGGGTGCTTACCTTGAGCCACACATTACACCAAGCACTTTACCTCATTTAGTTCTCTTAATGTAATTATATTTAATTATCCTCATTTTCCAGAGTAGGAAAGTGGAGCTTTGAGAGATTAATTGGCACAAATATGGCTGCAAATACCTCTTACATACAAATCCTGAAGTCTCCTTCTTCCCACCCTCTAACCTTACAAAAGTCTGCATAGCTCTTTTATATTCATTCATTTACTCAGAAAATATCCATCAAATGCTTGCCAAGTGCCAGCCACTGTTCTAGGTGCTAGGGATCCAGTGATGGTGAAAACCAAGATCCCTGCCTCCAAAAAGCACTGGTACACTCATCACTTGTTGGCCCTTTGGCTAAGATCAGGCATAGAAAATGATCCCTTGACAGACAGTCACTAAAATAAAGTGTACACGGAGTCAGATGGAAAGTACTATGAAGAATGCCACAGAGGACCAAGTTTGTGAGGGTAATGGGGTTGGCTGCAGGTGGTGATGGGTCACACGCTTATAGAACCTACAAGACCCCCCTGTTCCCCGTGTCTCTTCTAATCAGTCTACCAACACCACTTCCCTCCTTATCTCTCCTCACACCCAAAACCAGAAGTCAGATAAGTGATGGTTAAAGCCTTTTAGACCTCTGGATTACAATCTCAAAAGAAATTCTAAAAAACAGAAACAGAGTAAAGAACAGAATGAATATTTCTATACACATTTAAAAAAAAATAGAATATTTTCAAGGCCAGGAGCAATGGTTTAACACCTGAAATCTCAGCAGCTTGGGAGGCTGATGCTGGAGGATCACAAGTTCAAAGCCAGACTCGGCAACTTAGCAAGACCCTGTCTCAAAATAAAAAAATTAAAAAAGGGCTGGGGACATGTTTCAGGAGTTAAGCACCCCTGAGTTCAATCCCCAGTACCAAAAATAAACAAATAAAATAAGAATAGTTTCAAAGTTATTTTTAAATTAGATAACCAAACTTTGAACTATTTCTAAGATCTTTTTTGATGTTATTTCTACCACTCTTCACATCTGATTGTCAATATGCTTTTAGTAGAAAAAGAAAAGTCTAGATAGTGCAAAGGGGAAAAGGGGAGGGAGGGAAAGGGAGGGAGCATAGGGGTAGAAAAGAGGTGGAATGCAATGGTCATCATTACTCTAAGTACATGTGTGAAGACACAAAAGATATGACTCTTCTTAACCAGAGATATGAAAAAATGTGCTCTATATGTGTAATATGAATTGTAATGCATTCTGTTGTCATATATAACAAATTAAATTTTTTAAAAAGACTAATTTAAAAAATAAGAACATTGTATCAAAATATCACCATAGAAACATAGAAGCTAATTTTAGAATAAATGAATATGAAAAAAATTATTTTTTAAAAAGTCCTTCATATGTTTTTACTATTCTTATTGACAGTTTTAGGACAGTTCAGTGAATCGAGAACAAACCCTTTCCTCTCCAAAGGTTTGAACAATAAAAACCACCTACTGGTGAAAGAGTGGCCACTGAATGTAAACCTGACATTCTGTGGGTCACATACACATCAACAATGAACTGATCATGCCTCTAATACAGATACTCTGAAAGATTGAAACTAAATAGAAAATTTTAGACCATATCACATACATATGCAAGTCAGATACCTTGTTTCAGCTGACCTTACAATAAGATCAACTGCAAAGTTTTTTCATTGTTACTTTTTTTAAAATATTTATTTTTTAGTTGTCACTGGACACCATATCTTTATTTCATTTTTATATGGTGCTAAGGTTCGAACCCAGTGTCTCCGGTGTCTCACATGTGCTAAGCGAGCACTCTACCACTGAGCCACAACCCCAGCCCCTTCATTGTTACTTTCATTTTTATTTTAAGAATTTGACTATTATCTACATTTTTAAAAAATAATTTATATGCCAACCCAGAATATTACAGGCAATAATCAAATCTATATAACAACTATCCCTTTTCGAGAAACCAATTGCCTATTTCTCTATTTCAGAGTTAGTGACTTATTTGCACTATATCCCATAATCTTACCTCTGCAGCTAAATAGTTCCCAGTTGCAAGATGTTTAAATCTGAACAAGCTGTTCCACTGTCCTGCACCTCCACGGCATGGGTCATGGTGAACCACCTACAAAGACAGTAATTACAATAATATCAAATGGTATTCATGTTCCTGCAAACAAATGCCAAGAGTTTATGCAGAGTGCCCTCCTGTTAATACTGACCTGTAAAATCTAATACACGTTTTCATGAGAGTATGATGTGGCAGGCCAACAAAATTCTTTATAAGTGAGCAAAAGAGATAGACTAACGGTTGTTAACTCACTATGCATGCATGAGGTATATGCCTTCCATCTGCAAATACTGCCTCATTCCATAAGGCATATTTCCAGAACAAAAACTGGGCCAATCCAAACCCAAGACTGTGGTTCTCCCCCATCTCTTATTCCATAGATGGTAGTAAAAGCCTTACTATAGGCCAGGTACCCTTCAAGACAATAAAGGCAGGGCAATGGAAATGACTACATATTTCATTCTAATGGAGAAGATAAAATTAGAAAACAAAGAAATAAATAAGATTTGAAAAGGAAGGAGACAGAGTGCATGGTGGAGTAACTAGGAAATGCTAATTTCTATATAGCAATCCACATGGGTTACTCAGAGATGACATGGGAGCTGAAACTTGAAGAAAGAGAACAAGACAGTCATGCAGAGACTGACGAGATTATTCCAAGCAAAGGGAACCCCAAATGCTAAGGCTTGCATTAGCAGAGAGCCCAGAGGCTTCTCTATATCAGGGGAAAGAAACCTTGCCTGGCAAGGTTATGGGCATTTCCATGAGAATGGAAAGTAGAGGAATATAGTAGCAGAAAGGTTCCTCTTTTAGTGACAGTAGTCTCCTAAAGGGTGGGTGCTTGGGGACAGCATAACATGTGAGGACAGGCCTGCAGGCTCAGAGGAGGGTGGCTTTCTGTCATGCTAGATCTTCAATAAGTCCATGTCCCCCATACCAGTTTTCCTCCTCCAGCCCTTCCAATACTGTCAGATCTAATTCCTATATTAAATACCTCTTTGCATGAAATGCCTGATCCTCGTGCTGACAGAGCATGAGGCCCAGGCTTCCTGAGGAAACCCAGCTGTTACAGCATACAATAGAGAAGCACCCTGAGCCTGCATCATTCAAACCTCTTCCACAAATACACATTGGTAATACTTCAGCACATGACTATTCTAAAAAGCTTTTGCATCAAGTTATCTGAAAGGTCCAATTATTTAATGAATTCATGATGGAGAAGGGAGCTTAAATGTAATAAAGACATTATCTCAAAGCTCTTAAATAACTTATTCACTCTCCATCTGACTGTTCAATGTGTCACAGAAATTCCAACTACACCTTTGCTGGAGAGGGTTTCATGGCTGTGGTGCAGTTTCAGCAAAAGTCATGCAACTAAAGAGATGGCAGAGTTTTCAAAACTCTTTGTAACAGAGTTGGAACCAAATATTAAATAAGCAGGGAACTCACTATACTTCATGAATAAAGTTTTTAAATAGTACCTTACAGTGTTTCTATCTTGATGATTTTTTTTTTTAATTTTTGGAATACAATAAGAAATCAGCAGTGTACAAATTCATGCTTTATTTATTTATTTATTTGGGGGGTTGCCTGTTACTATTCAGCCTTACCCTGAAGAGGGAGGCAGCCTCTGGCAAAAGTCTCATGCAGCCTCCTGTGCTGTTGGCTTTGGTGATGGTGTTTTTCCCACACCTTCTCAGTTCTGTCACCTGGTGATAGCTACAGTCACCAAAGTCTTTCTAAATACCAAACACTAAAGGTGTGCCTCAACAAGTCGGGGATTTCAAGACAGGAGAAGTGTTTTATCATACCTTTTCATCTCTATTCTAACCCATGTCATAACATCAAGAATTCTTTGGGTGTTAGCTACATTTATTAATAAGACACAGCTCATTTGCATAAATATCATACTTCCTCATTTTGGTTCAAGTTTCTGTAATAGGCCTTGTTACACCCTACTGGTGGTTATTTCCCTCTGTTTCTTTTATCATGTACAAATAAGTTTGTTCTGTTTTTTCACTTCTACTAGTTATTAATCAAAGTCTCACGATTACCTTTGCTCTTTCATTTTCCTAAACTTGTATGGAATGACTTCAGATCCTCTTCTACCGCTTCTCTCTAACCCAGGATGTAAATGGGTTTATCAAAGATAGATATAAATATCATATCTTCTAGAGTAGTCATTTGCATGTTGAAATACATATCATTTTATTATAAACTTTTTTCCTTTTGTTTCTTCTTTATATTAGAATGGAGTATTATATTTGTTTTCAATCATGAGAACTTGTATATTTCATTTAGGGCACTATGGGAAGCACTACAAAATATGGGCTTTAAAAGGAGGTGGGGGGGGAAGGAGGTAGGAGATGGGTTTGAAATAGTTGAGAACCACTGCTATAGGCATACATGTCCATTAAATCAAGATGCAATTTATCAGCTGTTGCCTTGTTCACAAGTGGTTATGTATCTTTTTTCCTCCACTGTATAGAAAGATAATTCAAAGAAAAAACCCATATCTTACATTTCTAATTACTCTAACATCCTGCCACATTTAATAAATACTTTCTAAAGGGTGAAAAAATTCTCAACAGTGAGTCTCTTGATTCCAATAGAAATGGCATCCCCAGAATAAACACTGTTCTCATCAGTGACAGCCTAGTTCTGATATCTATCTTCACTGAAAGTGAATCATCCTGCTCCATCTTCACTCCATGGCCCTTTCTGGCCAATCAGCCTTGACAGTGTTTCACAATGGACTTTTAAAAACCAAAATCAAATATATGGCCTTATTAAATGTGTGTTTGTATATAAGAGAGAGAATGAAAGACACTTCAGAGAAGACAGGAGAAAGACACAGAATCCTTTCAGATCCATCACAGCAATGAAGGGGTATGAGTTGGCTCACAAAAAAAATTATTGTTTTATGAGTACATTATAAATGATGCCTATAATGATAAAACAACCTACTGGAGCTTACTTTTTTATCTAAATATTTATTCAAAGTAAGAAAAAAATCTATATAATCACACACCTCTATTTCCCAGAGTGCTTTAGAACTAGTAGCAGAAGTCGCTGACTGACGCAAGGTGGTACGAAGAAAAATGTGCTGTTTCTTCTCATATTCATCACAAGTCAGAAACTTCTCTTGCTCTGCATGAAACAGTCTAACAACATCACCCTAGAAAAAACAGATCAAGAAACAATGCATTCCAACAACTGTCTGAATTACTTTTTATTTCCTTTTAGATATATATATATGACAATAGTGTGTATTTTGTCTGAATTATTTTTAATAAAAATAATAAACAGTTTAATTTTAGTTACTGAAGTTAGTTACACTGTTAAGTTTCTCTAGAAGTTATATTGTTGTGGCACCTATACTCTCAACTATAGAATTTCTCATTATCCCTGAAAAACAAGAGGTTCTTTTTGGTTCTGATACTCAGGGACCTTCTGTCAGCTACTTGGCTTTGAATGATTATTTACACATTTAAAATACTGGTGGGGAGTAACTCAATAAAACATTCATAGTATTAAGATTTGTGGTCACATTGTAAATTATGAGTGCAGAGGTTCTACATGTAGACTTTTAGTAAGACTATCTTCATTTCTTCCAGCAAATGTTCAATGCAGCACATACTTACTCCTTTTAACACATCCTCTCGATAGGAACTAAATTTCATGAATAAAGTGATTTTCCAGCTTGTGTTACAATTAACAGCATTCACCTATTAATGAAGAAATATCGAGTTATAAGACTACAGATTCCATTCTATAAAGAAATCATTATTTCAACTAGTAAAAGAAGAAAAAGACAACTTTGGACAATTGAAGTATGTACCTCAATAAAAATTTCATCAAAGGACCATCTAAAATTAGCTAGTCAGCATCTACATATACGTTAGAAATATTAGTTGGCCTTACTAGGATTATGCTCATGAAAACAATGAAGGACACTACGTGACTTCTTCTCTCTCTCCCACCTAAGAAAACCAACAATAGCTGTCCTTAGCTAGGGAACTCACCTCCTTACAGCCTGGGTTATCGAGAAGCTCTATGTTGCTGGCATGCAGTGGCTGTCCTGCGTTCACAGGCATCAAAACAACTTTATCTCCTACGACAATCTAGAAATCAGAAAGAAATTGCAATTGAGACATTGCATGGATCTTTAGTCCTATATCTGAACTTAAAAATAACTGCACAGGAGTTCTCATTGTTGACCTGACAACTGGTCCTTTTATCTTCCACACAAATTTTAGATCAATTCTTGTTACCTTTGAAGTAAAATAGCTTCTAATAAATGATCATGTAATCATGCCCCATAGTACCTATCAGTCTGGACTCACAACACCAGAACAAATCTTTTTATTATCAGTCTCATTTCAGATGGAGTTTTCTGGAAGTCCATAATCAGCTCATTGTTCCTCCCCACAAGGTCTTACACCACAAGCACAGCAAATAGAGAGTAAAAGCAACTGCCACAATGAAACCAATCTGCATATATATCAAAATCACTCCAAGTGCAAGCAAAATATGTTATATATTTGTATTATCTCTGTAAAGGGACACAAGTCTGGCAAATTTGATCTTCCCATAATCTCAGAAATTTATTAAATATTTTAATATCATCTGGATTCAGGAAATACAAGTTGAGGTATGACTTACAAAAATATGTTTTTTGTTTGGGCTTGGCATCTAGTTCCCTCTTATCTTAAACATCCTAAATTAATATTACTTAAGCCTGGTACTCCTTTTAACATCAAAACTAAAATTGGTTGTGGGAAAAGTTCTCCAGAAGTAAACCTAAGATGATTTTTTAATTTATGCTATCATAGCAATGTCTACTTTATATTCAAATATTTTTATCTGTAACTCAAATTGTAGGGAATTAAAGTTACCCTTTCTTAATAAAAATAATGAGCAGTTAATTTTAGTTGTTAAAGTTAGTTACACCCCTAAATTTCTTTAAAAGATGTAATACTGTGGCACCTACACTCTCAATTACAGACTTTCTCATCATCTCCAAATGAAAACCAAAAGCTTCCTTTGGTATATTTTATACCAATTAGTTTAATAGATAACTGAAAAACAAATTAGGGTTCAAAACTTCTCCATGTATCTTAAACCAAAACTTTAAGGAACATCAATTTCATATTTTCAATATCAGATAACCTCATATGGATTATATAGAGGAGTCTATATTCACACATGGTACTATTGTTACAAAATATATTTGGAGATTCAGATATGATAAAGAATCCCCAAACCAATCAAACAATGTGAAGCTGTACTTTGTTTTGTGGAAATAACTCCAACTATTTACTGGATTGGCCTCTATTCATTATCCTACCTTTCAAGTCCATAGTAAGTCAGAAGTTGTGACTCTCAAAGACTCATCATAGAAACTCTTCATACAGAGATAAGGAGAAATCATCATGAAATAGTATTAAGTGCAGATATGAAGGGGAAGAGCAAGGCACATATCATGGTATCTTCTGGAGGGGGGGGTAAGGGAGTGGACAGATGGGAGAAAGGGTAAGAGTGACTCTTCACAGTCTTATATGATTTTCTACTATTTAATCATGAAATGATACCTCTTAAAAATTAAATCAGAAACAAAAATATATAAAAATCAATATTCCTAAGCATATTTCCACTACTCTCCTCTCCTAAACACACACACACACACACACACACACACACACACACACACGATATTGAAGCTCCTTCCCATGACACAAAGGCAGCTTCAGGTCATAGAGCCACACAGAGGCCCAAGTACTCATCCACACTAAAAATTACTGGGTGCTTGATTCCACATTTTACCAGTGCTACATCTGAGCATCCAATTTAAAAAAAAAAAAAACAGGTTTTATTACTATTTCATTCTCATCTGATCCATGTAAATATGAGCCAGTAAGTTGCTAAACATTATGATATATTTGAGCTATGTTCTGCCAACTCAATATTTTGGGTTACATCTATATTGTACATTGCTCTGAGTCTTACGATTTTACCATATTCATCTATAAGCTTTGGGTCAATTCATATGTTATATTTACTTCAAAACACCACCATAAAGTCTTCTATATATATATTTTTTAATTTTTAGTTGTAGATGGACACAATACCTTTATTTTATTTATGCATATGTGCTGCGGATTGAACCCAGGGCCCCACGCATGTGAGGCAAATACTCTATCACTGAGCCACAACCCCAGCCCCAAGTCTTCTATATTTTTAAGACACCAGTCATACAGCCAAAATGTTTCTTAATGTCTATGAATCAGTTTCCAAGGGTTATGAACACAGTACTGAAAATTATAATCTAACATTAATTCACTAACTTCCAGGCCCTCAGTCTTGCTGACAATGGTTACCTTGAATAGCTGAATAACACTTGCAAATGAAATCAACAAAATGCCAATCATGTGAAATAAAAAAGAATAGTAAGAGGTGCCAGGAAGAACACAGATATGTAAGAAATAGTCCCTATTCTCAGGAAATTCACACCTAATTAGAAAACTTGGCAAATATGGAACATGGTAACATTAGCAGAAGAGTGCCACTTGGGGCCTGATCCACTGAAGGGGCCAGAAACTTTCTGGGGAATTGCATATTTAGTACAGAACTTGAGAGTGAAGTCATTTTAGGCCACATCCTAGGATTAGCCATCATATTCCCTCTACAGCATGAACATCTTTTTTTAAACATTGTAATTCCGAAAGCACTTCTGTGGATTCTATATAACAGCCATGTAAGATCAAGCTGGGATTTTGCTGAAAATAAAGAGCAATATAATGCCATTTGCAGTCACTCTCCTTCTGAAGTGGCACCTGGTATGGTGAAAAGAATATCACAACAGGAATCAAAACACCAGAGTTCTAGTTCCACCTCTGCTAGAAATTCAAGGTATGTAACTTTTTAAAACAGCAAAATCTACTTGATAGATGGAAAGAGTCTCTTTCCCCAAGAATTGAAATTTTCTCTCCATTTAAAGAATATCTAGCCTTTTCACAGTTTCACTATCTACCAATAAGGTGAAGAACCCCAGTCTTCCTACATCAAAATTGAAAATGAAAAAATAACTATTCAATCAGGAGACAATAAATAAAAATTAAATATTTATGTTCTCTGTTCATAGTTGTCCCCAATGACTTTTTAACCGTTTGACAGCAAGCAAGGGCTTTCTATACAGTGAAAGTTGGATCCATGTGTCAAAACCATCCTTCCCACATCCTTAAACATGTATTACAAAGGTACACGTAAGTGGAGGGACCACTGATTTTTGAGGATATGAGCACCTTTCTCCCCTGACTATCATCACTTCATTCTTGCATTTGGTTGTGTCGAAGAACATCTTGTTAGACACACACAGCCTAAATTAATACTTAACTAATTGCTAACTAGTAAATTATAATTTTAAAGTCCTCTAAACATTGCAATTTCTTCATCTTAATAGGCTTTTGGAGAAAAAAAATCAGGAGTAATAGAAATGACAGAATTTGCAATCGCCTTCAACAAAACAGTAAGGTTATATTTTAGAAAAATACTACCTCTTCCAAAGAAAGAAAATAAGGGTTACAGTACAACTATTTATGTGACCAATATAGGGCTGTGGGTGTGCTTAGGTTTTCACAGCAACCTTAATCATACACAAAAGCTATACAGTGGTGAGCAAAAACAGTGAGCTATTTCAGCAAAAAGCAAAGTGGAAGGTTGTTTCAGCCATGCTATAGGGAGCACATCGAGATAAGGACACTTTTATATTGCACTTAACAATTACATTGTCCATTTTCACCAAAATGGAGCATTTTGAGTGGTAGGTTTTGTTTTGTTTTTCTAGTACAACTAATTATTTGAAATAGTTCATTACATTCAACTCTCTATTGACTCTGTAAAGTGATTTGGAAGCAGGTAAAGAAATAGAGAGAATGAATAAACAGTGAATTAATATAATCCATGCATCACCCAAGGCTCAAATTTATCCAATCATTTTACCACATTCTTTCAGAGTTTGAGCTCAGCTTTTGTTTGTTTTGATGTTTAATTTTCATGGATAGACAGGGACATTACTCAGTGGTGGGAGCAGGTAGTGGGTGCCAGGGGGACAAGCAGGACAAGAAATGGTATCAAAAGCATGGGTCTTTCACAAACCTGTCATCAGCCCCTGAATAATTGAGAGTTGATTGTAATTAACTACTAAAATTAAAATGTATCATGCTCACAGCACACTGCTTGATGCCAAAAGAAAAAGAATACAACTTATTTTTTAAGGAATCCAACACAAGGTTCAAAGTGCATTCCATTCCTGCATGCCATGCTTCTCCCAAACCTTACCTAAGGAAGATATCACCAGATAACTTATTAACCCAAATAAATCATGAAGTTGCATCCTGTGGAATTGAAATCATACTTTAAAATTCGCTAGAAAAGTAGATTCACAATAAAAGGCAGACATTTCTAAGTCTAGAAATACCCAAAACACATTAAAAATGTAAACAACATATTGATGGAGAAAACTCTTTGCATAATTACATTTTATATTGCTTTGAATTCATATTGTCAAATTTTTGAAAATCTCCACAAAACCACCTGGCCCAACATGGGTAGGGCATTCTATTTATGAAAGTTATTTGGTGTTCACTGTCAATCAGCATTTATTAAGCATCTCCCAAGTGTGAGAAACTCTCACAATATTTTATATATTACATGCACAAAAAAAAAATCAAACTATTGATCCTAATGAATCATTTCATGTAATTTTTCTCTATAAAAGAGCAGAAAATATTTTGGCAATTACTATAATTTATGTAACAATATGTACATAGTCCACAACTAATTATAAACATAGCTGTCATCAGTAAGTAGGTGGTAAACCTACAGCTCCTCATATATCCCACATCTACTATAACACGACTGTAAGAAGCTGCTATGGAGCCAATACATTATTGCTGTGACTCATGGTGTTGTTACTCTATTGGTTCAAAGGGCAGACTCTGTATCTTAAACACAGTTTTTTTTACTGCAACCATGTTCCCTCCTGCAAACAGGCAAGAGAATATACTCTGAAAACTACCCAGTAACATTAAGGTTGCTTACGTTCTTTCATGCAAACTCTAACTGGAAGGTGATTTTAAATTAATTTGAATTCTGACTTTATGACTTCTGAGCACAGTCTGTACTATAAATACATGCATTTAGCCTAGTAAGACACTAACACGAAAATATGTTGGTTGAAAATTATCCTTTCTTTGTATCTTTTAGAGTTTGTCCCTTTGTCCCTTATTAAGAACTGCTTCATCTATGAACTCACTGTTTCCCCCTTAATTTTATATTTACATACATTGTCACCCTCACTTCTCAGCTTCCAGAAGGGATGAATATAAAACCAAGACCCTTCATTTCCTGCAGCATCCAAGGACACACGCATGGCATTCTTCTCCAGTAAAGCTGGTAATCGCTTGTTGACAGTTAAATATTTGTTGCTTTTTATATGCAGTAGCTGTAGGGGAAAGACAAGCAGTTACCACCTTTATCCCTTTGTCTCCCCTTTAATTGTATTTGTGCATTATACATATATCATATACCCATATAACATGACTTGAGGCAGAAGCTAAACAAAGGACCTGTTTTCATGCTCCACGACCATCTTTCCAAGTCGATCTTCTTTGTCTCCTCCCCACCTCCACCCCCAATCTGCTTCATAATGAGGTGAGTATGTGCGCAACATAAACCAGAGACACTCTGAATGTTTATTTTTTCATCTAGCGTAAATAATAGAATAAATCCAGGTTTTCCAAAGGAGACCTGGAGGTCCCCGAAACCATATCCTTTCTCAAAGCCTGCAAAGCTACAAAAAAGAAAAAGAAAAAGAATATACTAAAGAAAAACTAAGACACTGGAACAATGTTTCAAACTACTCGGTATCACCCTGGCCCAGGGACAGCCTAACTCTTCCTCAGTGAGGAGGGCTGCGCATCTTAAACAGGCTCTGCAACTCCACAGAACCAGCCCCTTCTCACAGGAGTGTAGAGGCTCCATTCTCAGATATTTTGGATTCCATGAAGAAAACATTTCCAAAAATGTAATTCTACTAAATAGGAAAACCAAAACAAAATAGGTTTCCCATCTATTATTACAATTGTTTTGAAAAACAACAGTCATTTTAGTGCCTACAATATAAAAAGGGAGTGATCTCAAAATAAAAGAAAGGTCTTCAATTGAAAAAAAAAAAAAAAATAACCAGATCTTTGAAAAGCTCTCTATTATACCCTTGGTTATTGGAAACCCTCGTGGGCCAACCGCATTCTTCTTCTGGGTTCCACCGCATTAAAGGTTCAGCCCCTAACCGAGCAGGCAAATATTTTCACTTCAAGTACTTGACAAGGAACACTTAAGTACTTGCTAGACTTAACACCAATCAAAAATCTGTGCAGAGAAACTATTTATGGAGGATTGCCCAAGGGACATCAGTCTACCCATGCCAAGAGTATCATGTTATCTTTCATCAGATTTAGTCATACATGCAGGAAGCTGCAGACCCAGGTTCTCTCATCTTGTCTCCTCAGAGAATTGCTTTGCCCTGTACTCTGTTTTTTTGCCATTGTCCAAAAGCAAAATATCAGGGGGATATTACTTTTAAAAACAGGTTTATGAAGTACTCCCTCATTGTGGTATTTGCTATAAGGAAGTTGTTAAGGATATTGTTTACTAAATAAAACAGTATCCTCTTTATGAGCACTCATAGGAGAAATACTTCCTTGCTCTTATTTCTGGCAATGGTTTCCAGTCTAGACCTCTGTTTGGCTGTATGTTATGGGCCTCCAATGCTAATGCTATAGCATAGGAAGCTTCCCTTATGGCTAAGCAGGCAGCAAAAAAGGCTTCAGGACAAAGTTTATCAGACTTTACCACATGGTTTTCATAAGCATGTCTCACCCTAACTTCAGCTTGCTCATGCAGTCATTATTTTCCCTTTAACCCAACTGCCTTAACTATTTGCCTTTTATCTTGTTATGTGTTATGTATTTTGGAAAATGTCTTACACTCTTTTTTGGAACAAGGTGGGGCATTTATTTAAAAAGCTAAAAAGATCCAAATGAAGCACAGGAAAGGAATGCAGCTGAGATAAATCAGAGTGTGCATATTAATTGAAGTAGAAAATCTTCTAATAACATTCAAAGAGGATTTCCATCTAAAAGTACAATTCAAAATTTTTCCTTTCTCTATAAAAGATAAATATAAAGACCCTGATGTCAAAGAGTAACCCCATGAATCTAAAGGACTACTTCTTACAGGCCTTTAGAAATCCTTTCCTCAGGAAAAGAAACTCTATTCCTTTTTTTATTATTATTATGTTATTGTATTTTTGTACCTTTATTTTATTTATTTATTTATTTATATGTGGTGCTGAGGATCAAACCCAGTGCCTTACACATGCTAGGCAAGGAATCTACCACTGAGATATAGCCCCAGTCCCTACCTTATTCCTTTTTATACATACACCTAGATACAATCACTTCTTTATGTGCATACATCAGACTTATTCTTTTTTTTCCCCCTTGATAGTGTTGGGGATTGAGCCGAGGACCTCACTAAAAGTAGGCAAACTCTATAACCACTGTGCCACTGAGCTATGCACCTATCCCAGGATTATTTTTAGATGTACAGAATCGTGCACTGATTACTAACTGAATACATCACAACATTTGTAATTCTCACTGAAGAACAAACTATTATATTTCCAGATTTTCATTTGGCATTCCAACCCAAATGAATAATTTGGATAATTGCCCATAAAATATCCATCTCTTTTAAGAAAAAGTAGAGACTTACTTGTATAACATTACTGTATTTCACAATTTCTCCCAACAGTTTCTTATTCTCTGATTCATTTTGTTTTTGTTCCAGTTCTGCAGCATGCTATAAAATGATTATCAAATATTCAGTGTGGAAACAGAGTCAACAGAGTAAAATAATTAACAAAGAAATGATTTTTTTAGTAAAAAGTATATAACCAGAAATACAATTGGCTGGTTGCTTAGAGTTTGGGGAGAGGGAGAGAAAGAGAGCAATAATTAAATAAGTGATTGTAATATAATGTGATAACTTCTCAACTCATGCTGAAATGTAGCCAAAAATGTCTTGGGTTACTTTTATGTTGGAAATTTCAGGAAAACATTTTGGTCTTATAAAATTGCTTTAAGAATGAATATTTCTAGAAATACCAACCAGGATAGAAGGTCAATTACAAAAGTCTCAAAGTATAGTTTTTAATTCTGAAAATAGTAGGAATTTTATTTTCTATGTTCTATGAAATTTAAACTCAGCAAAACCAGAAACAATGATCTTTAAATTGTTTTTCCAATTTACAAATTACATACTAAGTCAAGTAAAATATACCTGAACTTAATATTCCTACAGAGATTCTGAACTGGTTTTCAGTTTAATGTGAAGCTTTGAATTAGTCTGGCACACCCTAAAAAAAATGGCAGCTTGTATTACCAGAAAACAAGTGGTCACACCCTATAACTTAAAACTGCCCTACACTTTTCAATGTGTATCTGAAATCTCTGTGTATTGGGTGAAATCACAAAGCTAGAAAGCTGTGAATACATCTTTTGTTATTGCTGCTCTAGTCCAGCCTGAGCAAGACACATGCAGCCTGGCCCTTACCTGTAGTTTCTTCAGCAAGGCGGCCTCTGTGTGGTTCCCCTGTTTGGCTTGCTTGGCTTTCCAATACTGCTTCTGGGCAGAATATCGATTCATAGGGCACACCTTGAAAAGGCAGTCTATGACAAACCAACAAACAAAACACTGTAACTAAGGCTGCTGGCATTTCTTAGACTTCCTTCATTGCCTAGTTTGGGGGTCTTGGAATTTCTAAGTCAAAAGAATGTTCAAAAGTCATATAATCCACCCTCTCCACCCTCTAGCTATTAGATTTCTCCTATAACATCCTTTTCAAATAATTATACTTAGCTAAAATAAACCCTTCTTCATTAGTTTAAGTTTTAAAAAAATATTATAGCCAGTGTGATTTGTAAAGAAATAAAACCAATATAATTATTATACTTTTTTATTTATTTATTTTTATGTGGTGCTGAGGATCGAACCCAGGGCCTTGCACATGCGAGGCGACCACTCTACTGCTGAGCCATAACCCCAGCCCCTACTTAGCATTTTTAATTGTGATGGGGGACCTAGTCTTAGTGGATAGTATGAGATCAGTGTCTTATCTGACCCAACACAATTAATACTTATTTATGGTAGGTATTTTGACAGCCAAAGCTACACAGAAAACAGAAACAATCACAGCTGATCATTATAGTCATCCATTTCCCAAGTTTCTGAATACCTTGAATGAACATGGTGTGGACACCTCAGAGACAATGGGATATGATGGAAGCATAAAGCAAAACAGAACAAATACATAACAACACCAAGATTATAGTCCTAATACTGCTCCCAAATATCAAGATAGGAAACCATAGTTGAATATTGTGCCCATGATATCTCTAAGTCAAAAAGCAGAGGTGGGGCTGAGGAAAGTGAAGTTGGCCAAATGTAAAGCCTCAGATTGTGAAATCCCTTTCCATTTTAGGGCCTTGGATTTATGGTCCCCCTCAACAGTCTCCCCATAGGTAACACCTGATTTTACACTACAGTAAATAACCAATCTGCTTCTGTGTGGGAACTAAGACCACAGGACTGTCTGGGCTGATAGATGGGAAACATAGGGCGAGACAGTCTTCTGCAAAAAGACTTCTCCTGGTGGTGGTGGGGTACATGTGGGTTTAATTTTCTCTCTCTGCCTCCTTTAGAACACATTTTTTTTAAATAAAAAAATCTACATGTCTTGGGCTGGTCACATATTTTGTCTTAATTCTAAATTTGCTGCATAATAAAAGTATTAATAATACCTGCCACACCTAATTCACAGGCCTGCTGAGATGCACAAAAGGATAATCTGTGTGAAAGTTCTCTGCGAACTCTGAAGCCCTATTATAAATGTAAAGTATTATTATTAACATTGCCTCATTCTTCCAGTAATAGCCTCACTAAGATGAAAAGATGACTAAATCCTTACTGAGCTCTCAGCAAAAGTGGATTTCCTGGAGTACACCTGAACCTGCACCAAGAGTGCCCAATTAATGACAAGGTGTTCGCTCCTGGGACATACAATGCCACAGAGTGTTTTGTATGAAGTCCTCGAAGTCTCTCAAATAGAATGGCAATGAGCATTACCTCCCCATGACCTTGTAATATCATTTAAACTTTGCAGATACAATCCATAACACCAGTTCAGTCACAGCCTTTGACAAGCCCACTTTTCTCCTGCATGAGGGAATTCAGCTGTATCAGATCCAACAATCTCTCCATCTTCCTCACCCTGCTTCTAAAACTAGCTGTCTCATATTCCTTGGTCTGCTCCTTCTCTAAAATTAGAGGTGTATATATGCTGAGAAAGCACTTTTAGGGGTTTCTCCATTAGAAATCATCTCAGTGTCACCTTTTTAATTAGGTAACAACCTCTTTAACATTTGAAGACGCAAGAATTTTTTTTTTAAAAAAGAGGTTTGCCTCATAATAAGTACCAAAAGTGCAAATAAAAAAGGAAGGAATTTGAGTCGAATATGTTAAAAGTTTAACCTTCAGACCTTAGGCCAACAATCTTGCAGAAATACAGTTCGGGATACTTAGTAATGCAACAAGACATGACATGTTAGGTCTGGCAATAGTGTAAGAACAATGGCTTAGAATGGGTACTTTTTTTTTTCTTTTAACAGCCATGAAAGGAAACTAAGCCACCCAGAAATTTTACTTCAGCCTGATTTCAAATGCCAGGGTTAGAGAAGAGATATGAAAGCCCTTCACAGGGTGCAGAGCAGGAACTTGGCTGTGAGTCAAAGAACTAGCCTTTCCACTTGATGCCATGTACACCTACCTGCAGGGCACCATCTACACTCCACTTCCAAGACTCATCTAAACAGTGTTGAAACATTTTGCTTTGTAGCTAAAAAGCACTTCCTAAAACACTTGAATCTGAGGTCGTTTCTGCCCCAACCTGGAAACTGACTTTAGCACTCCATTCTAGGCTATTACACGTAAGGCTGGGTCAGGCCAGCAAGTTCCTCTGGGCATGGTGGGAAAAAAAAAAAAAAAAAACAACTTGCTTTTTCGCTTCTCCACCCTCCTAAAGATGTCTTAAGATTTAAATGAGGCAACGCATATTAAACCATCAGCAAATGGCTGTCACAAGGCAGACATTCAACAAATGGCTCTTTCATGGTAGCTTGTAAAATTACCTCATGCTGATTACAAGGAACATGGTTGCCAAGGGTTTTATTACCTCCACGTGGAGGAAGCTGGGAATGGAAAGGCTCTAGGACTTCTCTTTTTTTTGCAGCAAAGATCCATGATGACAATGATTTCTGGGACAAAGGGCAAGCTGGGACTCTCCCAGTGATAAAATGGAAAGTGGTAAGAAAATTCTCCCTAGGGTAAGGAACAGGCAGACAAGAGACCACTTCCTACTAGCAATTAGAATTCAGAGTTGTTCATGGGAGTGGTATGCATTCATTAGCCAAATTCATAGTGGTAACTCTGTTTTTGATTTTCAGTTTCTCCAAGAAATGCATCCTAAAATACGATGCTTATATAAAACTCTTTATGTTTAGAAGTGTCAAAAAGGCATGTTTTTCTATTAAAAATAGAAATTTCAGACCAAACATCTACTTCCCTTGCCTAAGGGAAGGTAACTAAAGAGGAAAATATGCTTTAGAATGCTACAAAGGCCAAGGAGAATTTATTGCATGTGTTAGCAAACATTAAAATTAATCACAACACGATTGGCAACCATGAAAACTGCAATATAACTTTCTCTAGCCAATAGTCAGCTATTTTACTACTGAAGAGGAAGATAAATGGTCTTTCATAGTTACAGGCTTGTAGAATACTAAAATGCTAGCACTTGAAGGGCCCTCAGATAAAATCCAACCTGGAAATAAAGAGGCAAAAACTCAAAGAGTGAGCTGCCTAGGTCTTTCCTGATAGAATCTCTAGAGTGAAATAAAGAATACATATGAACAAGTTGAACCACATACAGGATACTGAAAATGCCCTCACAAGTGACTGCCTAGTTGCCTTGGCTTTCCATTACAGGTGTTTCTGAAAAACACTTGGGATTACCAATTAATAAGGTAAAAGGTTAATTTTGGCTCACAGTTTCAGAGGTCTCAGACCATGGTCACTTGGCCCTGTCACTTTGGATCTGAGTTGTGGCAGAACATCACAGAGAAGAACATGTGGTGGAGCAAAGCTGTCACCTTATGGCAGCTGAGAAGAGAGCAGGAGGAAAGGGTCAGGGGTTCCAATATCCCCTCCAAGGTTAGAACTCCAATGACCTAACTTCCTTCCCCTAGGCCCCACATCCTAAAGGTTCCACCACCTCCCAATAACGTCTCAGGCTGGGGACCAAACCTTCAACAAGTAGGCCTTTGGAGGACATTCAACATCTTAAGAAGACATTAATGCCACACTTAGTTTGCTGAATACGTCAACTACTATGAAGCACTTTATAAACTATAAAGAGTACTGTATAGTGACAATTAAAATCATTTCCTCTTCACAACACCCTTGAAAGTTAACCAGATTATCTCCATGTTACAGAAGACTAAGAATTAAGTCCACAAAGTTGGTCAGGAATTGAGCTGCAATTAGAACAGAGAGCCTCTGTGTCACTGCTAGTCAAAGGTACCATTTGGAAGACAGGTTTTCACAATGAGGCAAACTCTGGCTCATGATAAATACCATTCATAATTCTACATATACACCTTGAGGCCATTGAGAACAAATCTAAACCAGCTTCTACCCAGTGGCCCTAAATCCCCAGACAGCATCCTTCTGACCTATTTTAACTTGGATTTGATTAGCATAGCAGGATCTCCTCAGAAAGCACCATTCTTATTATATATACTACCAACACCTCTTTCCCATAATAGAAGTGTTTGGCCAATTGCAGATTGAATTCTTAAGGTATTAACTAAAGCACTTGTTAATGTATTCAGCAAGTTTGGAAAGTGGAAAATATACTGGCCAGACAGTTATGTCTCAATTCTCATCCTACCACAGTCATACACATAACACAACTTCTAGAGAAATACTATGAAGTTAAATATATACATGTGTAATAGCTACAATATTAAAAAGAAACTAGTAGTTTTTATGGGAAATTTTATATATATATATATATTACCATATAAATGCCAAAACATCAATAAGAATGCTATAAAATATTAGTCTCAAAGAGAAAAATTATCTGATTCAAACATTAATGAGTAAATACTCAAGAACAAATGAAACTTTATCTTTTACTTCATTTGGAATAGGGAAGAAAAATAAAATTCAAATGCATTAAGGCTAATTTACATTGTTATCAAGGTTTAAGTTTCAGCATTAATCAAACCATTATACTAGACATAAATGGAACTTGCTCCCAGAAAATTATAATGTATAATTTTTCAATTAACTTTCCCATTCTCAGTGTCCTATGTTAACACTGATAATCAAAAAAAGTATAATGAGCACACTGACTCGGAAATCAAAATGCAAGTTTCTAAATTCCATTACATAGGGCTGGGATTGTGGCTTAGCGATAGAGCGCTCTACCGCTCGCCTAGCAAGGGCGGGACCCGGGTTCAATCCTCAGCAACACATACAAATAAAGGCATTGTGTTGTGTCCATCTACACCTAAAAAATAAATGTTTAAAAAAAATTCCATTACACAGA